GTGTTGTAAGCCGCCCCGAGGCTTCGGCAAGGGGCGGCATACAACACAATAAAATACATTGAAATACAATAGAACATAATAAATTACCATTAAATACAAAAATACAAAAAATACATTGAGTTACAAACATAATAATATGAAATTAAAATTATCAGTATAAAATAAGTAAATAAATAATAAAGGGGGAGAAAAGAGAAGGAAGAAGAAGTTGCCCTGGCCAGATCATATGTTTTAACAATTAAAATGATGTTTAAATAAAAAGGTCTTTACCTGGCGCCGAAAAACCAGTAACGACAGTGCCAGGCAGACCTCTTTGGGGAGTGAATTCCATAGGTTGGGCGCCACCACAGAGAAAGCCCTCCTCCGAGTACTTACTCTCCTAATTTCTTTCATGGAGGGTTCCCGGAGAAGGGACTCTCCCGCAGATCTCAAAGGGCGGTCGGGCATATACGGACGTAAGCGCTCGTTCAGGTAGGGGAAAATGAAGCTAGCAAAAGAGAAAAAAAGGGTAAGCCACCCACTGCTGACTTCACCTCCCCCCTGCCAGATTATGCAAGAGGAAATGGACCTGCCCCTCTGCTAAAACATCCATGTGACCTTAAAGTGTTCCAGACCTGGGACACACTCAGAGCAGCCTCTCCCCCACTAGGGGAGCCTGTGAGGTGTAGTGCAGGGCCCAGTCACCAGGGCAACCACTTTGAAGAGCTAAGGAGCAAGGCAGCAAACCTCAGCCTTATTCTCAGGTTAATGGGGATGTGGCAGTACCTCGCTAGAGACCAGGATGGCTTGCACAAAGGGAGAACCCTCCCATTAGACAGTGCTGCTTACAGCAATGTATATAACTAAAAGCACTGGGAGACTAAAGGGCAATAGCCCATGTCTTTGCTCAAAGCCAGTACTGGACAGGAGGAGGTGGACTTGGGTTTATATCTGGAGCCTGAAATGCTGCCAGAGGGCAGATGTTCCAACACTCTTGGCCGGGAGGAGGCGCCACATATTGACAATGAGCTCTGTAAAAAACCTGCATGTAACTGTTTCTTTTGTTCAGCTTAAAATGTGCTTCCATTCAGCATCCCCAAATGCTGAGTCTGTTGTGGCACTGCCAAAAACCTTCTTGAAAATATCTATTGCTGGGCAAGCAGAGTCCCTTGTGTTATGTGCCCTCACTGATCCCTTTCTAAGAGGGAGAATTCCAGACTTTACATGTTTCAGGGTGAATTCATTTAGTCTCGTAACATTCCCGCTGCCCCTTTTGGAATCTCATGAATGATTGATAAGGCAGACCACTTATGAGATTCATTAATTTGTCATGTGTTTAAACCAGCGACAATGCACTGCCTCCCTGCCGTCTCCGTGTGAGTTCTCTCACTAAGTGCTGTGGAGAGGGCCTTGATGGCAGACAGCCAGCATTTTTGCTATCTGGCTATCAGAGATGATTTTAGTAGCTGAACCAGGTCAAGTGAAGAGCGCAGTCCAGCAAAATGTTACATGTAGTTCAAGTTCAGACTGAGGGTCCTTAAGGTCAAGAAGAAGATATGAATAGATTGAGGGGGATTACTTGCAAATCAGTGGAACTATTTTAAGATAAAAAATGAGAGGATTTTAACTTGCTAGGTGTGTACTCAGATGCTGACTGTCCTGGAATTAAAAAGACCAAAGGCAGCCTTGTTCAGAGTTCCAAAAAGAGATGAATGAATTGATTTGCCTGTTCATTACATTATCAGCTCATCTTCTGAATTCTTGTAGATCAGTGAGAATACAGAGAAAGCACCTTGCCACTTACTGAGATAAATGCATATGTGATATGAGGAGCAGAAGTCTTAGGGAGGAGAACTGACAGCTAGCCAAACTCAAACCATCATAGCTTATCTGTAACTCTGACTGGACACAGAGAAATGATAGTGTTGTGATTATTGTTCTTTTACATGCTTATGGTACTTTTAATGTGAGATTTGTAATCTTATGGAGCAATCCCTATGGTCCTGTTCCATCACTGGTGTTGCTGTACTGTCAGTATAGCTTGGTTGGCGTCCTCTGTACTCCCAAGCACAAATTTCGTGGTGCAGGGACCAGAAGAGCCACAAAGGAGAGCAAAGCCACATCCATGGCTGTACAGAGAATTCCCTACAATTGCAGTTCAGAATGGCAGTTCTACCAGAAGCAGCCATGGAAGGAGACACTCTGTGCATGGCCCTCTCCCTAGGCACGTGGACATTGTTATCTGCTAATTAGTGGATGTGGTACAGGCAGGAGGTGGCCAGCAACTACAGATCTTCGGAAATCTGTGTGTTGGGATTGCTATTCCATCCTACCACTCCCTTCTATACACACAGCTCCCCATTGACTATACAACATAAAGAGAGAGGAGGGGAGGAAAACTGCAGAGTCCCCAAATGACTGTTGCACACAGTAACAAGGTGAAATGCCAGTTACTCATTGCAGGACAGCTCCCTCCAAGTTGGTCTTGGAAGGCTGCAAGGCAGACAGCAGAGCAGGTCTGGTATTCCTTACACACACCCTGCCACCAGCGCTGGGTGTGTTTTTACCTGTTACAGACATGTCTGCCACAGAGTTTGCAAAGCTACAAGAGCCTGCCTGAAAATAGGCTTACATTTCTACAAGCTCTGGTTACTCTGATCTGAGCAAAGCTGTGGAGCTTTGGAGAACTGCCAGCTGTGAAGAAAGGACAATACAGAGAGTAACAAGCAACAGTCAGCAGATGCAGTGTATCATCTCTGGGGCTGGATGGACAGTGGATGCTTGTGAGGTGGATGGTATTGTGCATGTGCTCCTCAAGTGCATTGCTTCAGCCTCCCTCTCCCTGTGTGGGGAGACCCCACAGCAATTCAGACCTTTCCTTGCAGAGATTTATGCTGGCCCTCTGTAAGTGTGCTGTGGTGATTCTGTTCCAAGTCATTGTTCCAAGGGAAGCTGCAAGGCAAAATGGCTCATTAACATTTAGCTGTGCCTGGCATTCACCCAGTGAGAGCTTCATTGCATGTGAAGGTACATGCTCACCCTTGTAACTTGCAGGTATTGAGACAAAGGAAAGCTCGTTTCACTAGTGTAGTTTGGAAGACACATGTTTTGCATATGTCGAAGTGTGTGAGCCCCAAGGAGAGATGCGGAAGATATTTGCAGCAGTTATACTTTATCGCCCACAATTATATAGTTTTTTAAATAGCTATGAAGCACCTTGAAGGCTTTGTTAAGATAGAAGTGTAAAAAATATAGAACAAATAGCACCCCTGTTCCATAGTGGGGTACTTTGACTTTGTATCCCAAATTGTAAAATGGAATGAGAATTTTTTTTCTGCCTGACATCCTGACACTTACTCTCAGGTTAAATTAAAGCATATAAACACAGACACACAAATATATAGATTTATGGAAAGCTATGGCATACAATTTGTGCAGGTTGCAATGTAGGTGCTAAGGTTCTGTCATTAACTGTCCAAGATCATTAATTTTCATGACATCACAATACATAGTTCTGATTTATTTTCAGCAATAGCTGGCAAGAAGCAATCATAGAATCATAGAACAGTAGAGTTGGAAGGGTCCAGGAAGACCATTGGGTCTAATCCCAGCTGTTGCAGAGCACCAATTTATGCCATCCCACTCAGATGACTGTCCAGCTTCTTTTTGAATGTCTCTAGTGTGGGAGAACCCACAACCATTCTAGACAACTGGTTCTACTGTCGTATTTCTCTGACAGTGAAGAAACTTTTCCTGATATCTAGCCTGAATCTGAATTGTTGCAACTTGAGCTGAACCTACACCCTGGTGTGACCTTCTCCTTTGTGACAGCCTTTCAGGTACTTGTGGAGTGATATCATGTTCCCCTCAGCCTTCTCTTCTCAAGACTCAACATATCCAGTTCTCAGTCTCTCCTCACAGGCCAGTGTTTCCAAACCCTGGATCATTTTTGTTTCTCTCTCCTGGACCTTTTCTGCAGCTTTCTTAAATCTTGGTGCCCAGAGCTGGACACAGTATTCTAGAAGAGGTCTGACTACTGAGGAGTACAGGGGAATTACTACTTCTCATGATTTGGAAGTCCTACTTCTATTAATGCATTCCAAAATAGCATTTGCCCTTTTGGTAGCTGCATCACATTGTTGGCTCATATTTAGCCTGCTGTCCACAATAACTGTGAGATCTTTTTCTTTTTCAGTTCTGTTGAGCCACGTATTCCCTGTCTTGTATCAATGCATTTTGTTTCCTTTTCCTAGGTGGAGGACTTGGCACTTGTCCCTATTGAATCTCATTCTATTGCTTTCAGCCCAGTGTTCAAGTTTATCAAGATTGCCCTGAATCTTCATTCTGTCTTCCAGGGTATTCGCTGTTCCATCAAGTTTTGTGTTATCTGCAAATTCGATTATCTTTCCTTGCACAGTGGTGCCTCATACTTCAAATGACAAATTTCAAATGATCCAGAGTTCAAATGTTAGGGTTGAGATAAAATCACTCCGTAGTTTGAGCGATGCATCTAAGTTCAAACTGTGAGCAAAGTGAAAAAAATGTGGTTGCTGTGGAAACACAATCTGTTGTGCACCAAAGTTGTCTCTGGCTGGGAAAGGATCTCTGTGCCTTTTGAGCACGTGCCTTTTCGATCTTTTTAGTGTCTTTTCAGTGAGTTTCTTTTCAATATTTTCAGTGTCTTTTCTCACTTTATTTTTTTGTTATATATAATGCCCCTACATACCAAAATAGGTATTGTTTAGGGTCTGGGAACAGATTAATTCACTTTCCATTATTTCTAATGGGGAACATTGCTTCAGTCTTCAAACGATTCAGAGTTCAAATGGCCTCCTGAAAAGAGTTAAGTTTGAAGTACAAGGCACCACTGTACTTCCTCATCTAAATCATTAATAAAGATGTTGGACCTATGATTGAACCTTGTGGCACCCCACTAGTTACCTCAGTCTGGTTTGTGAAGCTGCCATTGATGAGCACTCTGTGTGTCTAATTTAGTAGCCAATTTTGGATCCACCTAAATGTTTCTCTCTCGAGTCCACTCTTTGCTGATTTTCTTATCAGAATGTTGTGGGTAACTAGGTCGAAAGCTTTGCTAAAGTCTAGTAGATTATGTCCACAGTGTTCCCTCTGTCCATTTGGGAGGTTAACCAGTCAAAAAATGAGAAATAAATTAGTCTGACAGGATTTATTTTTGATAAATCCATGTTGGCTTTGATTAATTGTTGCAATTTCTTTGAGGTGCTGATTTTTAATAATTGAATGATTTTTTAATAATTTGGTTCAGGAACTGATGTCAGACTAACTGGTCTGTAGTTTCCAGGTTCCTCTTTTTTCCTTCTAGATAGTGTCTATTTTTTTTTGAAGATAGGGACAAAGTTAGCCCTTCTCCAGCCATCTGGCACATCTCCTGTTTTGCAAGTTTTATCAAAGATAATGGCCAATTGTTCTGAGAGTTCCAGTGCTAGCTTTTTTATGATTCTGGGATGGAGTTCGTCAGGCCCTGGAGATTTGAACATGCTTATTCCATCTAGATATTCCTTGATCATTTGTCTGTCAATCATGGGCTGCCATTGCTTCCTTTCAACTTATGCTTCCTTTGTTGTAGATTTTCTTGTGGGAGAAGACTGAATGAAGTAGGAACTGAACACCTCTGCCTTTTCCTTGTCATCTGTTAGTACTCTGCTATCCACTTTAAGTATCTGGTCACCTTTCTCTTTCATGTGTATTTTGTGTTGGATGTATCTGAAGAAGGCTTTCTTGTTCTTCTTAGCATCCCTTGCTATTCTCAGTTCATTTCCTGCTTTAGCCTTCCTGATGCCATCCCTGCAATTCCTTGCTATTTCTTTATATTCTTCCTTTGTGGCCTGGCCCTACTTCCAACTCCTGTACTTGCTCTTTCTTTTCTTCCAGGCTGTCACTTAACTTTTTGTGGAGCCACGTGGACTTCCTCTGTTGTCTTCTACAATTTTTTCTTGTTGGAATTGTTCGTAGCTGTGCTTGAAGAATCTTCTTTTTCAAGATTTCCCACCCCTCTTGGACTCCCTTTCCCTTAAGAATGAGTTGCCATGGCACCTCACTTATCATTGTTCTGAGTTTGTTAAAGCTGGCCTTCTTGAACTCCACAGTACATGTTTGACTGCAGTTAACCTTTGTCTCCTTTATAATTAAGAATTCAAGTATCACATGGTCACTTTCCCCCAGAGTTCCCATGGCTTCTATTTTGTCCATTGGGCCATCCCTGTTAGTTAGTATTAAATTGTGGATAGCTGATTCTCTCATTCCTTCCTCTACTTTCTGCTGGAAGATGTTGTCAGCAATGTAAGACTTGCTTTACTCTAAGCATCAACACATGCCTTCTTTCTGTAACTGAGGAAAAAATAAGGTCACAAAGAATAGGTGAGGAAGGTACAGCAAACAAATGAACATGGCACAAGGGATCGAGATTAGGAGGGATCATGGGAGTGGATAAAGAAAAAAGTATTAGAGGTAACTTAGTAGAAAAATCTTTTTGAGTAATAACATCTGGATGAAAGAAAGTGAACAGAGGGGAAATTCACAGGGAGCAAATAAATATAGACATTAATAAAGTAGGCTTTGCCCATAGATGGGGCCAGAACTGCATTTTCCTCCTTGTTAGTAGGTTGTCTTGGTGAAGTACAAAACTAACAAAGCTTCTCTACCAAGTATGACAACAGATGCCCTACTACCACATGGTTGCTTTTGGGGAGTGGGAGTATAGGACTGGTAGCATATACCCTGGTATATACTGGCAGCATACACCCGAAGAGAAGAGAAGAGAAGAGAAGAGAAGAGAAAAGAAGAGAAGAGAAGAGAAGAGAAGAGAAGAGAAGAGAAGAGAAGAGAAGAGAGGAAGGCTCCAATATTCTCATTGTTCACTTCGAGGTTCTTCAGGCCCTTGAGTGAAATATATGTGAATGAATGCAATAATAATGAAATACAATAAATAGGCATTCAGAATAGGATTTGCAAACTTTCACTGCTTTGGTGGCATGCCTATGAATTTCATAATCATCACTGTCAGAGGGTGCATACGGAGATATTCCTCAGTCATATTTTTCTTCTTCGAGTAGGTTTTGTCTTCTTACCAAAAGATACCAATCAAATTTGGTGTGGTGATAGAACTTGCTTTACTCCTTTGCCTTGAACCTCCTAAATATTGTTTTCTTCCAGCTAAATGTTACTTGTCTATGCAGGTAAGAATGAGGAAGTGCCTTCTCAGGGACAGCAGCCTGAAGATAACCTGACTGAAGAAGAGCTGGCCAGATATGTTCAAGAGCTGCAAAAGCATCAGGTTATAATGGGCTCAAGCGAGTGCTTAGTCTCCTATAGCTACTTATGATTTCTGTTTTTAGTCTCATGAAGCAATATGAGATTCTGTAAATACTGGAATCTGTATTTTGTTGGCTGGTGGGAATGCCTCAGCCAGTATTGTATTTAGCAACTCATCTAGCCACTATAGGACAAGGAATTTGATGAAGGCGGAGCAGTGGATTGGCAGAGGAAGAGCAGATTGTTCAATTCTTTCTCTGCCAGCAAGCATGTAAAAAGCATTTTTAATTAGCACAGCAGTTTTCTTTAAAACATTGCAGGCTAGTAACTTTTGTGGGCTTATTTTAAAGAATCATTGAATAGTACAGCTGGAAGAGGCCATGAAGGCCATCAGGTCCACCCCCCTGCTGTTGCAGGACGCCACATTACACCATCCCACTCTGAGGGCTGTCAATGTTTTTTTGTGTGTGTCTCTAGTGTGGGAGAGCCCACCACCTCTCTAGGTGGGCTAGAGCCCTCCCTACCATAGAAACATAGAAACAGAGCGAGTCAGAAGGGGCCTCCCAGGCCATCTACTCTGACTCCCGGCTCCAGCCAGCTCTGCTCACGACATGCCCACCATGTGCATTTCTCGCCTATCTTTGAACACCCTCACCAATGGGGCCTCAACCACCTCCCGTGGAAGCCCATTCCATACCCTCGGGGTCCTGACTGTCAGGAAGTGCTTCCTGGCATCTAAATGGAACCTTGGCTCCCTGAGCTTTGCTCCATTGCAGCGCATCCTGCCTTCCTCTGTGGGGAAAAACAGGTCTCTACCCACCTCCGTGTGACATCCCCTCACATACCTGTGTGTCACCAACAGATCCCCTCTGAGTCTCCTCCAGGCTGAAGAGACCCAGTTCCCTCAGTCTCGCCTCATACGGCATCCCCTACAAACTGGCCACCAACCTTGTGGCCCTACACTGCACTGACTCTAACCTGGCTATATCCTTACTGTAATGTGGAGCCCAGAACTGAGCACAATACTCCAGTTGCAGGCGCACCAGAGTCGTATAGAGTGGTAGCAATACCTCTCTTGATCTAGAAGCCAAGTTTCTGGCTATGCAACCAAGAGTGGCATTCGCCATCTTGACCACCATGTCACACTGCTGACTCATGTTTAGCCTGCAGTCAATCAGTACACTGGGATCCCTTTCACAAGTGCTGCTCTCCAGCCACTTGTCCCCTAACCTGTACTTATGACACCCATTCCTATGTCCCAAGTGCAAGACCTTGCACTTATCCACATTGAACGCCATCCTGTTGTCTCCTGCCCACTTCCATAGTCTGTCCAGATCCTTTTGGATCTGGAGTACCTGCTCCTCAGTTGTGGCCACTGCCCATTTTAGTATTGTCCGCAAATTTGATCAGCAGACTGTTCACACCTTCTTCCATGGCACTGATGAAAAGATTAAACAGGATTGGCCCCAGGACAGAGCCCTGGGGGATCCCGCTTGTCACTGGTTGCCATCCCAATGATTCGCAACTAATTGTTACCCTCTGCTTTTGGTCAATCAAGCATGCCCTAATCCATCGGACAGTGCATTGGTCTATCCCAAAACTCCTCAGTTTCTCAACCAGGATATCATGGGGCACTTTGTCAAAGGCCTTGTTGAAATCCTGGTAAACCACATCCACTGCATCCCCCCCATCTACCCACCTCAAAACCTTGTCGTAGAATTCCACAATGTTTGTCTGGCAGGACCTGTTTTTGCGAAAACCATGTGTGGCCACCAACCTGTGCATGTCCAGGCTATCCTTAAACACCCTCACCGATGGGGCTTCAACCATCTCCTGTGGAAACCCATTCCATACCTTCGGGGTCCTAACTGTCAGGAAGTACTTCCTGGAATACAAATTGAACCTTGAAACTACTTCACTCTCTGTCTTGAACCTATTTCAATTTATTGAGTAAAACTCATTTCTAGCATTATGAGAGAAAGGGGAATTTTTCCATTAGATGGTCTACAGCTAAGCAATTTGTTTTTGCAGATGGTTCATAACTAAGCAGCGATGGGGAAAAACACAGATGTACAGTCACTTAAGCAATTATTCAAATAAAAAATGTTGTGCTGCTCCTCACATTACATTTCTGAAATATATACATTTTACATACTTTTCCAGCTTAACTGGAAAGACAAACAAACTCAACAACCTTTTAGGGTAAGAACTGAGCATGCAGAGATCAACCAGAGAATCTGTTTTTCGATCTACATGTATAGAGCTATGGCAGCAACATAGAAAATTACACTACAGCCATTTAAAAATGCTTTCTCTTTCTCTTTTTTTCTAGGAAACATCTGAGAAGATCAAGAAAATAGCCACCAAAGAGATATAAAAAGAACTTACAAGTGAAGAAGTTCAAAAGACAGGGGGTGTTGCCTGACATACCCACCAGTCTTCCTTCAGTGCTGATTTCAATATGCAAATGTGTTTAGGACTTACTGCTCAGTCACAGATATTTACATTGTATAGCGATGGGAGGGGGACAAAGAAAAGATGGTTTGTTTGTTTTATTCATTTCAAAGGAACCCCCCCTGAATTATGGTTTCTATAGTGAGGATAAAGAGCTGCACTGATGGGGATTAGTGAAAGTAGCAAACCATTTCAAGTCTGGTACTTTGGGCACTTGGGGGAAGCATCATGGCTACCCATAATCATGACCGCTGCAGGACTTTGTGCAGATGGGGAAGTTCTTCCAAATGAATAGTTTGCCTCTAGAGAATGTCCCCAAGAGCTTGAAAGGAAATTTCTCGTACGACTATAACCTACCTTGATACTTGCCCATTCTGTTTTCACAAACACCCTTCCTCCTATCCCCCTTTTGCTCTACCCCGTTTCAATTAGCATCTTAGCTCCAATAAATGATCTGGTCCTTTCAGCTGATTGACTGAGCATGTGGATGGGAGTTCCTAATAAATAGAGGCTTCTCCCTGCAAGAAGCCAAAATAGCCTCAGTGCATTGTGCATTCCAAATTGACCACATTTTCTTTCCCTCTCTCTTTGCAAAGGTGCTACAGTATATTTTCGTATCACATTCTTAACACTGTCTTTTTTAATTAATGACTTTTAACTGAGCTTTTTATATCTTTGATTTATAGATATTGTTTATAGTTACTGAAAAATGCTGTACTTCTGGGTTCATGCTTTGTATTATAGCTGCATGTATCAAAGAAGTAAAATCAATGCAGCACCTAGGAGACCCAGAGCATTAGGGGCTATTCTGGATTTGATAATTCAGCATCCCTTATATGATAAAGAGCCATGGTTTATGCATGATAGAGCAGAATAGAGTTTTCAGAGGAGACAGGATATTTCCTTCAGGGGAGGGATTTCTGACTTCAGTTTTCCAGGAATTGAGAGTCAGTCTTGTAAGTTAAATGGGAAGAAACAGAAATGTTTAACACATAGTAAGTTCTTCCAATGCTGTTGAGAGGATAGATTAACTTGACTCTCATCACTATTCTGGGAGCAGTTCTTGATACTGCTGCTATCAGGATGTGTAAATTCCTGTTGCTTCCAATTGTGGCACTGCTGCTGTAAACTCCAAAGAAGAACTTGCACAGTTGGGATTTGCAGGCAAGATGTTGATCCAAAGTTTTTTCCATACAGTGAAAGGATAGAACCCTAACCCCCATGTAAGGGAAGGAAAATGTGCAAGCCCATAAATACATTGCATTTCTTAGTGTGAGACCAAAGTCTGTCTCATGCTTCTTAGGAACTTTGGCAATAAAATCAAAGAGAACTCCTCTGTGGATATAATAAACATCAAAGACATTGTTGTTTTCTTACACGTGCTTGAGGGAAAACTGGGTTCTAGGTGGAACACTCTGTATAGGAAAATGTAAATCATTCTGAACAGCCTCATTCTTGGAGAGAGTCATGCTGGGCTCAAAAGGGAAACGCCACCAAGTCCAGTGGGACTCACTTGCAAAGAAGTGATGATAGGTTTGCAGAGTTAAATACTTTTTGGCTCCTTTGTTGCCAAAAATAATCTTAGGGACTGGGTAAATAAAATTTGTTCTCCAAAAGAGACCTTTGACTCTTCCTATCTTCCTCACAGGTATATGTGCTGAATACAAATCATGTAACACTGGACAGGCATTGTAATGAGGAAAACTTACTCTAATCTCAGCAGTTTGATCCTGGAGCCTTAATATCCTTCAGTCACAGTTGAGGCTGTGGTCCAGATGTACTATGGATGGTCCCTTGCATCTCACTTCTGCTGGGGTGGAGGCAGAAATGTTTTGGGGTTGTGCATTGAGTTCAGCATAGAATTTTCCACGTTTCATTGCCTTTGGAAGCCACACTTCCTGCACTCTCTGTTTATCTTTAAAGCATCCCACCAAAAGCAAGAGAGTATATATGTTACAAATATACTCTGGCAGTTCTGGCACTGTGCAGCACAGATGGACTATAAAATGCTGGAATTAATTCCAGGAGTGTTGTGACCTCTGCCATCTACAACTTGCACCCATTTATACAGAGCTCTTAGAAATATTGTATTGCCAGCAAGCCACCTGATTCGTGCTAACCAAAGCCAAGCCCTAACACCTTCTGGAATGAGGGATTGTACTTGGTAGCAGATGATCAGGACCCAGTGGGCTGTTAAACCAGAGTGCTGCAAATTTGCCATAGCAAGATAGTTCATAATTTCTGCATTTAAGAGCACTAGCTCTGTCACTAGCAGGACTTTCTACATTGGTCCCATTTTGCTAGTTTGAAAGAAGCAGGTCTGCAAGCAGATTAGGCATTCTGTTTCCTAATCCATGCTATTTGATTTGAATGGCAGTTCTCATCGGGCCACCATGACCACTGCAGTCATGGTTCTTTTCTGAACTCCTCATTTATGCATTAGACAGGAGAAGCCAGGTAGTAGCAGGTATTACAGCAAGTAACCATAGTTAATGGTAGAGCCCATGTTTTGCATACATTAAAGGCCCAGGCTCAGTCACTGGTAGCTCAAACAATTTCAAGTAGCAGGGCCAGGAAGGACCTTTCTCTGAAGCCATAGAGAGTGGCTACTCTTCAGAGGAGTAACACTGTGCTACTTGGACAAATGGGTTGTCTCTGGATAAGAGAACTCTGTGGCTCACACAGATCCTGTGCCTGCGCAGATCATGCAGAACATTCCACAGCTGAGCAGACCTCTGCTGGGAGCTTGCCCAGCAATCCTCTGTGCATGCGTCAGAGGAGAGCCGTCAGGACAGCTGCGCACTCTGCCAGGCTTTTACGAAACACCTTCATGCCGTTGTGCAACAAGGCCTTAAAAGCAGCGGCCATGGCAGAATGGAATATTGATTCATCTGTTTGCATCAAGACAGTGCTAACAGGCTTCTGATGGAAGGACCCGTGGTGTAATCTTCTGTGCCAGCAGGCAAAAGCAACAGAATGAGATGCAATACGGACAAGTGCCAAGTTCTCCACTTAGGAAAAAGAAACCAAATGCATTGATACCAAATGCAAGGAGAATGTGACTCAATAGAACTGAAAAAGACCTTGGAGTTATTGTGGACAACAGGCTAAATAAGAGCCAACAATGTGATGCAGATACAAAAGCGACAAATGCTATTTTGGGATGCATTAACAGAAGTATGACTTCCAAATCTTGAGAAGTAGTAATTCCCCTGTACTCACTAGTCAGACCTGCCTCACTGCTCTTTTGAGGCCAGGGCCAAAGAACCTGAAGAAGAAAATCTGATACTGGCACTGATAGCTTTGGCACAAGCAGAATCACAACCACCTCTGTTCCACTTCCTTGTCTGAGGTCACCTACTATTATTCTAGAGAAGGTGCAGCCTGCCAGTGAAGTTGCTGTCACAGAATGAGCTCAAACGAAAAACACCAAGGTTTCAAAGATCCATCTCCCAGCACTGCTCACCATCATCTTCACCTCATAAGTTTTTCTCCCATCCAGCACAGTTCCATCAGGATCATTCAGATTCCCTGGCATTGTTCATTTCCTCATGAGGTTTTCTCCAGTGTCAAGGCCTTCCACAGGATGACAGTTGTTGCTCATATTAAACTTATTCCCCTTCTTGCTACTGTGATGAGCAATCAGCACCACACTGGCCACTATTCTCCATGGTGGCACACCAGTTATTCCCCATGGTACTATTCCTGGTATTATCAGTCTTGCTTTCTGCAGTTTCTGTTCTGCCTTGTCTAAAGCTTTTAAGGCCTGCTCCCACAACAGGGTATGGAAGTGACCCGGCAGGTTTCTTTGGGCCTGTTTTGCCCTCACTTTGTCCACAGGGGTTTCCACACCTTCCCAGATGTAACAGTTGGGGATCAAACCTTCTTTTCTCAAGGACAATGCTCAGTTCTACACCAAAGAGTGTTTCAGATTGCAAAGTCCCTGGTGCTTGAAATGAAAGTCCTGTCAATACTAGCTACAGACCTGATATTTAAGGACTCAGAAGGACCTAGTCCCACCAGCGCACCAATGCTGCCCACCCTCCAGTACATCAAGCAGTCCAAGAGTAAGCTTTCCACTGTGCCATGAACAGTGAACTTCAGGAAGAGTGAACATTTACCTAAGGTCCAAGAAGAGGGCCATTCCTTCCATTATAACTGAGTCCGGTGGCTACAATCATAGTACAAAGTGCACAGTGCAAAGTCCCAATCTCCCCTGGTCAACTCGGCGGGGTGGGGGTGGGGGTGCTGGCTGCACCACTCGTGGAAGAAATCACTGCACCTATGGACAAATGTTGGGGCCCTGGAGCTCAAGGAAGCCCAGGTCCAGTCCTCACACTGCCACAAAGTTAATGGCAATAGACCAGTCCTTAACTGTTTAACCTACCTTGCAGGATCAGTGTGTCAATAAATTAGATAAAAATAAAAACTAAAGACAACATGAATGCTATTTTCAGCTATTTGAAAGATGATCACATTGATGATGGGGCAAATTATTTCTCTCTTGCTATCGTACTAATGGGAACATGAACTAACGGGTTCAAATTCCAAGAGAGAATTCAACTAAGCATTAGGAACAACTTCCTCCTAATACAAACTGTTCATTTCCTCTGAGGCAGCTTTTGACTCTGTGATTTTTGTGACTTTCCATATACTGCTTAAGGAAAAAAAAGTAAGGTACTGAAAACTGTAAACATGACTAATTGAATAATCTCTGCTTTGTAGGGATGCATGAAAAAAATCACAAATTCACAACTGCTGAATTTACTTGCATTTCATCTGTTATGTTGCTAATTAATTTTATCAATGAACACATTTTAGTGATTAAAAAACTGCCCATGGGAAGCTATCCCCCTCACACCACTCATTTCAATTAATATATGTTGTACCAAGCAATCAGCAGGTGGGGGAGGGGGGGCTAACTGGGATAAGAACTGTTGGTGATGTTCATTTGGGACACCTGTTTCGCTTTTATTATTTTGTCATTATAACTGCGTGTTTAGCTTTACAATAAGTTTTGCTTTCCAGGGCCTTTGCAGAAGGAAAGCATACAACTTCCATAATAAATTACATAAATCTGTCCAAAGAATCTTTTTCACAAGTCTAACTGTAAGCTTGATTTAGTGTAGATTCTCCTTGTCCTAGCTAAATGTCTTGCTCACCTCTATTTTGTAGAACTGCACAGAATTACTATTGGGCCCTGAATCTCCTTTGATTCTCCCAATGACATTTTCAGACAGGAGATATTTTATTCTTTGTTTTCTCTGTTTTCTAATAAATGAAAAATTAAGTATTTCTGGTCCCACCACTATGAGTTGAAAGGCCGTGAAGGCAACAAATTTTGCTAACACTACAGTGCATTCATTTCTGTTATTAACCTTGAGAGCACTGTAAGCTCCCCGTTCAAAGAGAGGTACAACTGGGTTGGATACCTATCCCAGGCACTCTTGTTATAATGTAGCTTCTTCAGATTATTGAGGAAGGCATCCCAAGTTTTGTGTGTTGTTTTGCAAAATACCAGATATGTTCTGTACAGGTCCCATTTCTAAGGGTTTTATTTGTTTTTTGGCCACACAAATCATCACAGCTGTAAAATGCCCAAGAGTTACAAGACAGCAAAAACAAGCCTCCTAGCAACTTAAAAAATGACATATTTTTTAATGTGACATGATTTGTTACACAGTATGGCTTTTTCCGTCAGATGACCATTTCATACATGCTCTATCCTGACTCAAACTCCTCCTCACCTACTTTCAAAATGAAGTTCCTGTATACCATACTTGGAAGCATGTCCCACTGAATTCACAGGCCATTTTAAAGTACACATTTCCAAGTACACATTCAAAGGATGAGCTGCTGGGCAAATCTCCTTTCTGCAACTTCAGTGCTTGATTGGTGTAGACTAGGCCTCTTTGTGAAGTGGAAACCTGTGCTTAGCTTGTGGCACTTTCACTATGCAAAAAGTTTCTCTGTATCAGCTTGTTTCCACAGAAAACTGGTAGATCAGGCCAAACATCTTTATCCCCCTTTCCTCCCCTTGTGCGGAACCCAAGGCAATTTGCAAGTTTCTCCTCCTTCGATTCTGTCCTCACAACAACCCTGCGGGGTAGGTTAGGCTCAGAGTCCGTGCCCGGCCCAGTCACCCAGTGAGCTTCGGCGGGAGCCGAATGGGACCAGAGCCCGGATACCGGGCCAGTGCTCTGCCCCACACTGGGACAGCCTGGCCTTGTCTCCGACAGTCTCGCTTCCCGGACGAAGGAACTCTCTTGTGCGAGCATGGCGGAGTAACGCCCCGCCCGCACTGAGCGGCGCGACCGGGCGCCCCGGAGAGCAGCAGGCCGCCGCCGCCGCTCCCGCGACCCCAGGCGGCCCCAGGCTGCTCCCCGCGGAGTGCCAGGACGCCTGTCCGGAAAGCGGCGGGGCGGGGAGGGGGGTGAGCACATACGCAGGTTCCGGGGCTGCGACCGAGCGAGCGAGCGAGCGCGATGGCGGAAGAGCCGGGCCCGGGCCCGGACGAGGCGGAGGCGGCCGAGGAAGCGGGGCTGCGGCTGCGGGGGGGCGCGGAGCCGTCCTCGCGGCGCCTGGTGCTGCCGCCGTCCTGGCTGTCGCCCGGCGGCGGGCTGCCGGTGGGGCTCGGGAGCTCGTTCCCGGCGCTGGAGGTGCTGGACGTGAGCGGGACGGGGCTGTCGGTACTGGGCCCGGAGCTGCTGGACCTGGCGCGGCTTCACACGCTGCTGGCCAAGAACAACCGGCTGGGCGCCGCTGGCTCCTTCCCGAAAAGCCTGGCCAGAGCCCCGCTCAGCCGCTCCTTGCGCGTCCTCAACTTGAGCGGCAACCGCTTCACCCACCTGCCAGCCTCGCTGCTGGGCCTGCACCGCCTGCAGAGCCTCAGCCTGGGCAGCAACCGCCTCCAGAGCATTCCCCCCGCCATACAGGAGCTCCGCAGGTGAGCCGGGGCACGGCGCCGGCGGGCGCCCCCCACCACAAAAGACCCTCCTCCGGGACGGAACGAAGGGTCGGGCTTGTCCAGCTCGACCACGGCGGCTCCTTGCTCAGTGGTCGTGGCTCACGGGTGGTTGCTGGGCCTGGCTTCCTCCGCGGAGAACGGCCTAGTGCGGGATGGGGTCGCGGGGAGCACGTTGCGCTTCAGTCGCGCGGGGCCAGGTTCTGGCTCGGCTGCGCGGTGCAGCGTGCGCGTGTTCCCAGGCTAGTCACCATCACCTGGCTTAACCTCGACAGGCTGTGAGGGTAAAATGCTGAGCGGACACCTTCATGTACCTTGAGCTCCGCGAAAGAAAGATAGAATATAAATATAGGAAAGAAATAAAAATAGCATCCCAAGATCTCAAGTGGTCCAGAATCCTGTTTCTGCCAGTCGCAAGGCAGATGACTGTGGGAAACCCACAAACAGGTTAAGCCTTCTTCTCTCATCACTACTTTCCTGTTTGCTTCTAATCCTAGTTTAGTTGTCATGATAGTTACTAGTAGGGAATTTTCTCACTCCCTCCTTTTAAAGATAAGAATGATAAGAATCCATCCAAGTCCCCTGGTCACAAAACAGTCCATTAAGAGGCCTGCCTAAACTTGAAGTTAGCTTGAGTGAAAAATGCATGTGATGTTTTAGACTCAAGGAGAAAGCTTTTCTTTCAGTTCCAAGAAAAGATCCACTTAGCATTTTCTAACCAATGCATTTCAGTCCTTCAGAGAAGAGGCATGGTCTAGTTTTGAAAGTAAACATTGTGGGCATTAAATAAAAACTATTAGGAATTCTCTCACACTAGAATATGAAACCTTTCCCTCCAGACTATTGTGGGTTTGTAGCTGATTGAAAAATAATAATTATGAATATGCATTGTAATTACCATGAATATCATGCTGAGACAACTCAGCTGAGAAAAGTTGGCATAAATTGTATGTATCAATTTTCTTTTGTTTTTCAGTTTAGAATTTTTATATCTTGGAGGAAACTTCATTACATCAATTCCACCAGAGTTAGCAAACCTGCCTTTGCTAAGTTATTTAGTCCTGTGTGATAATAAGATACAAAGTATTCCACCTCAGTTGGCACAGTGAGTATTTTTTAACATTTTTCCTTTATTGAATATCTCCCCAGCTCTGACCTCCTGAGTTGAAATGCTCATAAAATACGATTATATTGAGAAAGCATTTGAGAGTTGGAAAAAGGATGCAAGCTGTGTATTGATTATTACATGTGAAACTACTTAAAGTGTTTGGGAGTTGTGCCTGGCTGCAGTTTTATATCATGTAAAAACATAGCAAATTGTATAGTTATGACAATTTGCATATATTTTCTATGTAGGGAATTAACCTCTCTAACAGTGCAAATAATCAAGGCATGGCTAGTCAGAAATAAGAGCCACTGAGTTAAATAGAACTTATATACCCCAGTCAACTATGCATAGGATTGCAGTGCAAGGGCACAATTGATAGTAACTGGGTGCTATAGAGATTCCTTTGACCCGCCAGACAAAAGCCACCAGAGGAGGAGGAGTGGCAGAGGTAATCTTTATTCCCCCATCCTCTGGTTTCCTTTCCCCCTGCCTAGCAAGGGAGCTTCAGTGTGGGAGGGAAGGAGGCTGGAATAAACAGGATGAATTGTATCCTGGCTACTCCAGTCTCTTCTACCTGCCAGAGCACCCTCTCTACTCTCTCTGTGACATCAAGTTTCTACACTGACTGTGAGCGGGCAGAGGTCACATTTTCAAGGTTGGAGCACTGTCTCCAATTTCAGAAGGGGATTTATTTATTTATTGAAAACTTACAAGCAATATTACAAGCAATCCTGGGATGCTTGCATGGGACTATAGGATTGCTATGAGAAAACGTTGTTTCCTCACATTTGGGAAGACTGAAAGGCTGCTCTTGCCTATTTGTTGCTTGATGACTGCAATATAAAAAGATGATATCATCATGTGAGAGAGCCATCGTAGATCTAACACTACATAATGCCTCAGACAGAATACTTCCCAATGAAGCCAGTGAACCTGTTGCAAAGAAAAAAGTTAGGAGAAATCAGAAGTCTGTATGTTTAAACCAGAATGTGTGTGTGTGTGATGTAGCAACAGAGCAACAAAAAGTTAATTTAGGCTGATTTACAGTACCCATGTTATGAAGAAACAGAGCTGCTTTATAGTTTTGTATTTAGTTTGGATATTAAAGTGTAACTTATTTTATCTGTATCTGCTGGAACCAAAAGGCCAAAAGTTTGGGCAGTTGCCAGCAAGTCTCCAGAGTTTCAGCTACAGGTTAGACCTTGCTCAACTCTTTGGTGCAGAACTATCTACTCTGAGAGATAGGTTTCACTTTGCAAAACACAGAGACTTTTTGCAAATTAATTGCAGTGAGCTCACCAGACATTGTCTGGGTTGAGCTTAGCCTTCTTGATTAGTCAAGAATTTCAAGTGCTGCAGGAAGTTTTAACATAAAATGTGGAGGCCTAAAATAGTGTTTAAAAGGTTGAAAGAGAAGGCAGATTTGGAAGGAAAGAAGAATCAGATGTTTTGGGAGAAGCTGCATTCTTGGGAAAAGTTAAGAACTGTAACAAAAAAATATTGGAAAGATCTTTGGCAGCTTGGGCATTTGTGGAATCACATGTAACAGTGGGGGTGAAAGGCAAATGAGTCCCAAAGCCTCTCATCCCATTGCTTCTATAAAAGTAATTCCCAGCTATTTGATAAAATTTAGCTTTGATTATGTTTTAAATGATTTCATGCCACCTTTAATGATGGGACCCCCTCAGGTCAGCTTAAGTTTACCCACAAGCAGCACTGCAAGATGTCGCATCCAGTTATCTCCTGTATATTTCTGACATATACATATTACTAATATGTTTTAAGGTTCTTTTACTCACGAAATTTTGCCACATCATTTTGTGGACATTGAATAGTTTGAGAATAAGAAACAAATTCTTCCAAGAAGACCAGTAAGGGGAAGAAATTATTGTTTCTAGTTAAAAGTAATCTCTGTGTCAGCAATCTCCATGTCCTTGGTATTTTCCATCCAATTATAATAACCAGATTGTATGAGGAGGTTTGGAACTGGCTGGCCACTAGCCCAGAGGTTATTTAAGCAGTCCTATTCTGTGCTGGTGGGGAAGTTGCATTAAATCAGGCTGGATCTGATTTAAATCAAATCATGCTTTAAATAATGATTTAAATCACTGGTAAGACCAGATTTAAATCATGGTTTTCTATATAATTTCCATGCATGTCTGCTGTGCCTGAAGGTAGAAGAACTTCATTAAAATATTCCCGAACTGGGCCTCCTCTACAGCCTGCTGCCATGATAGGTTTTCTCCTTCACAGAAAGAATAAAGTGATAAACCTTAGGCTATATACAAAAAGATCCAAAGTTTTCTGCTGTTTGACCATCACCTTACACTTAGCTTCTTGTGCAGATCTATTCCACTCCCAACAATCTTTATTCTTTGTATTTATTCATTTTTTGAAACTCAATACTTAAGAGGTAAGGGCTTGATTCTGTGTACATAGATTTGCAAAATAACAGTGGGATTAAGGTCAACTCTACATGTTTACTTCATAACAGTTTTGCTGTGAAGAAGATGCATGTGATCGCTGCAGACACAAATTCACAGTTTTGAAAATTGTAAAACCAAGCATCTGTGATAATATTTATGAGATTGAAAAGTTGCTCAATAATCTTACAGGAACCTCTGGAAGAGCATGACATTGTGAATGGATTAATGGGATTCATTTACCAAAAAACTTTGCATGAATATACAGCCTCATGCTTCATAATTATAAACTAATCCTCCTCTCATGATGAATAACCTTTGGACTCTAATGTATCTTAAATAGACAGTTATATTTAGATAGATTTAAAAAACTTTATTTTCAAAAATCCAATTTAAATTTAAAAAATCCTATTTTAATCCAAAATATCTGATTTAAATTAAAAAATCCATTTTTATATTTAAAAAATCATTTTTATCCACCCTGCATTAAATATCCTGGCTAATACATTCACTTGCTCACAATTACTGCTTATACTCTAATGTTTAGAGGTTCCTGGAAGGAGTATGCAGAAACTGACCTGGGAAATGTTGAGGGTTTTCTTTGGAAAGCGTCTGGAAGAGAGAATCAAGAAACTTAAACTATGGCACAGCCTTACCTCATCTTTTCATTTCTTTGACAGGTTGCATTCCCTGCGGTCCCTTAGCCTTCACAATAACTTACTAACTTACCTTCCTCGAGAGATCCTTAATCTAGTCCACCTTGAAGAACTGAGTTTGCGTGGGAATCCACTAGTTGTACGATTTGTCCGTGACTTGACTTACAATCCTCCAAGTCTCCAGGAACTGGCTGGACGCACCATTAAAACCCGAAACGTTCCTTTTGTTCCTACGGAGCTTCCTGGAAATCTGTTCCGATATTTGAGCTTAGCCAGCAACTGCCCCAATCCTAAATGTGGAGGTATGTTCTGTTTCCTCCTTCTGTGATAGTACTTGTCCTGCCTTTCTACACACTACCCATATTACAAAAGTTGGTGTGCAAGTTAACTTCTTTTAAATCTACTTCAAGACATTCAAGGAACCAGTTCAGTGTTTTTCACATTTATTTAGAAACATATGCTCCATTTTTCCACTCCAAAAAGGTAATGGATAAAAGGTTATAATATATAGAAGGTATAAAAATGACTAATCCATAAACTACACTTACACTAACCTAAAAACAATAACAGAGGTAAAAACGCAAAAGAAGGAAAACTGAAGGAAAGAAGGAAAGCCACTAAATAAAACACTCAGATGCTTGTTTAAAAATAAAGGTCTTTACTTGTTGACCTAATCTCTTGAGTGAGGAAGTTTCATGTACAGGGTACCGCTACAGAGGGAACCCTCATATTTTGGCAGCAGTCATACTACTGTAGACAAGAGAGAGGGTGCCGTGATTGATCTTAAAAGGACAGACAAGTTCACACAGGCCTTCCGCCCTGAGGCTTTGTTGCGATGGGGGCGGCATAAAAATGTTTTAAATAAATAAATAAATAAATAAAAGCCAAGTCTCAAGCCATTTAGAATGTTAAAGGTTTGAGGATGAGTATCACCTTGCATTAAACTTGGAAACAAAGTGGCAGCTGAGTGGAGATTTATTTTAGAGGGTGTAACAGATGATAGTATAAAATCTTGGTATTACATTCATAGTATGAAATCCATTTTGGCATGATCAATCACACTCTTAGCAAACTAGCTCTCAACACTTCACATTTATGTATAACTTGTTTGCCTGCTCTCCGTCAAAAAGGCTCCCAGATAAATTTTAAAAGACCAAGACAGATCCTAGCTTCAGGCTTACAAGTTAAGAACATGACACAAAAGGAAAAAGGGCAGAGGAGGGAAAAGAAAGAATAACAAGTTGTGCCTGGGTTCTTAAAAGCAACAGAGTTCTTATAACAAGCAACTAGGATGTAAACTGTTTCGGGGGAGAAGGAGCCAGGAGATACTTGTCTGTCCGTTGAGGTGACAGAATGGCCTTGCTTCCTTTCTCATTTAAAGATCTTCTTCTTGCCATGAGCAGGCTAACATAACAGTAATTTGGACTGATGCCTCTTAATAAGAAGTGTGAAATGGTGTAACAGTAGTTCTCAAGCTTGCCAGGATAAAGAGAATGTGGTCTTAACCAGCAATCCTACACACTAACTTGGGAGTAAGTTGCATCCAAGTTAATGGGGCTTGCTTCAGAACAGACAGAAGAATATAAGAAAAGCCATATCGTATCAGAGCAAAGTATCCTTCATATCATATCCATCTAGTCCAGCACTGCATACACACAGTGGCAAACCAGCTGCTCACAGGATCCTTCAAGAAGGGTGGGTGCGAGGCCTTCTCCTGCCCCAGCTCCCCACCAATGAGTGCCTGCAGGCTTGTAACCTCTGGGAGAGGAGGAGGCACACAGCCAGCAAAGCCAGTAGCCACTGACAGTCTCCTCCCTCGTGAGTCTGTCCAGTCCCTTTCTAAAGCCATCCAGACTAGTGGCCATCACCACTTCCTGTGGCAGTGAATTTCATTCTTTAACTATTTGGTATATGAAGAAACACTTCCTTTTATCTGTCCTAAACCTTCCTCCATTCAGCTTCATGGCGCCACGCCGGGTTTGAGTGTTTCTCCATATGGTGCATCATTTTGAATGCCTCTACCATGTCTCCTTTTTACTGGGCATTTTTCTAAGTGGTATGGGAGAGAGTGAATTGTGCTGTGGTGATGTGGTGATATCCAGCTTTTCATGAACCACAACCTACCGCTGTGTCCTGATCAGTTCAACAATATTAACTTAGGATGTACCTTTTGCTGGTTTAAGTTGTTTATTAGTGACTTGTGCAGAAGTGTTGTTAGGCTATATGAACAACATACAAAAAACAAAACAAATAAAAATATGAAGCATTTCGTTGTCTCAGAAGCTGCTTTTCTTTTGTCTGCAGGAGTCTATTTTGACAGCTGTGTCCGACAAATCAAATTTGTCGACTTCTGTGGGAAGTACCGTGTTCCGCTGATGCACTACCTTTGTTCTCCAGAGTGCTCTTCCCCCTGCAGTTCAGCATCTCAGAGTTCTAATTCCCAAAGTGAATCTGATTCTGAAGATGAAGCCATTGTTGCTGCCCGAAGGATGCAGAAAGTTCTGCTGGGATAAGAAAAGACTACAAGCAAATCATGTTAGAAATGCAATTGAAGAATCACAGTGCCTGATCCCCTGTGTGAGGGACATTTTTGAAAAATTACTGTAACCTGCCTTTACTTTGTCACTCATGGAAAACGTGTCTGTTCTGGAAAAGCATAGAATTACTTAAGACAGTGTACTTCATGCCTTTTAGGAGAAGCTGACACAGGGACCTTTATGAAGGTTTGAGGCCTCCTTGGCTTGTTAAAAGGGTGGTTAGACTGCTTCACTACCAAGGCTGGATGTGAAGCGGACCATATTTAGTCATTGCAATAAAACTTAAGGGTGCCGGGCTGTATGCCCCAGTGTTATAGCATCTATCATACTTGAACATTCTCTCTTTATGGAGGTGCTTGGTCTCTGCCTATTACAACATTCCTCCAAAGTACAAAAATGCCTTAGGGGTACATTCTTCTTTGTGTGGCTTCGCTGCTTTTGACCAGAGTTCTGTTGTAGCAGTACAACTATGCCTCTCTCTGACAGCTTTCCTGAAACTGGTGTCCTCATAGTGTTTTGGGCTACGTTTCACAGGATTACTTACCATTGGCCATACTGGCCAGGTCTTATGGAAGCTGGTCCCCAAAATCTGGAGGGCACCAGACTGGGAATGCTGCTTTATACTTTAACCCTGCATGCTGCTTAACGGGACTTTAATTTTCGCCGTTCCTGTCACTGCTAATTTATTTAAGCTGGACTCTTGATCTTCTTGTCATGCAACTCATTGTTTGTCTTTCTTAGATACATCTTGCCTTTCTGGAGTGGTGGGCTGTGTCAAACATATCACATCAGTGACACTTGTGCAACCATATTCCACACATAGTATTTGTATTCCTCACACAACACTTCATTTGTTGTGTTAATTCAGAGGTTTCCCATCTGTCCCAGTGACAGGTGTGTTTTTCTACAAAGCTATCAACTTTTGTTTTTTCCACAGTGACTTCTTAAGCATTGCAGAGTGATGAGCTTTTTTCACCATTGGACCCAGTATCTTGGATTGAGTGCTGGCCACTGTAATGGAAGCACTGTTTGAGGAACGACATTTCGTGCTCTCATGAGGATGTTGCAGAAAGACATACAGAAAGGCCTCTGCTCTAAGCATAGAGCAGTCCAAGAAGGGAATCCTAGTGCTGCCCTCATAATAAGGGGTTGTTTGAGGAATCCTGAGAAGCAACCTGATCAGTACTTTGTAATAAAGTTGGCATCTGCTTCTGGTGACAGTTCTGCCTGTAGTGAAAGCTTTCTCTGTGCTCATAGGATTGGACTGTGGATATGAGTGCATACATTTAGCAGAGTGAATGCTAGTATGGAGTATTTATACTTTACTGGAATCTCCAGACAGACTGATTTTTATATAGGTCAGGGCTGGGGAACTTGTAGTTCTCCAGATGTTGGACTTCTTTCAACTCTAGCTAGGTAGTCTTTGGTAAGGGATGATGGGAGCTGTAGTCCAAAAACAGGAGGTTCCCCAGCCTTGTTTGAAATTTTGGAAGCGCTTTCCTGGGAATAATGCTTTAAAATGAACACTTTCTTCTGCAGAAATTGTTAATACTTAGCAATAAACGTGAATTCCACCTTCTCCACAGACCCTCCCATTCTAGTTCAGTAATATTCAGTGGGGCATTCATAACAACTTGATTTTCATTATAACACAAAATTAAATCTTGCAGCTTCAGCTATGAAATAATGCCTGTTATTTCACTAAGGCCAGTGATGGGTCTGAGTATCATCCAGTATTTGTTTTCAAAAGTTGGAGTCATTGCTGCATCATCCTAGACTCACAGGTGTGACCCGAACACATCTAACACCTTGCAGATACTCATTTAGTCTGCAGTCTGCATCTTGAGAATATGTCTTAGTGTGGTCTTCATGACTAGAATATTGGCCTAATTTTTGCACATTTTTGTTTCACTTCTTATGCCAGCTCCTGCTCTTTGTACCTTTCAGCCCACATGAACAGTTCTGGAGAACTGGCACACTTTTTCATGACATTTTGCCCCCTCTAAATAAAGGTATTGCTGAACTGTAGATGTATTTTTTTCTTAAAAAACAGCTGCAGTATTCCAGTTACTGTGTTTCCTTATGATTTTGATAAAATGCGATCTTGGCATCATTTGATGCATACAGTCAGCCTCACTTAGGTGCAGTGTCCTATGTTCATTCCACTGACAGCATTTTCTGGCAGTTCTAACAATAAACTTAGACACCACTTGCCTTTCTGTCTCTGAATTTGAGATTGTTCTGTTGTCTGTGTATCCAAATCACCATACCCACAGTCATTTAAAGCTTCATCAAAGTATTCTCAAACTTTAGATACTGTTCTTGCTTTGTTTTTTCATACTGTTTACGCACAGAAAATGCAGATAAATAATTCCACCCTTTCTGCTGTTTCTCCTCTTTCCTGCCATCGCTTTAGCCAAGAATAGCAGATGTGGTGTTTATAAGTGCAAGTTCAGTGCTTTTGGATTAGTAGAAAATCTTTGAAAGACAAAGTATCTACTTAACTGGAAGCAATTTAGACAGTTTCCAATCAGTATGCTCCTCTGTAGCTAGATTCTTGAATATTTTAGTATGCCTTCCTAAGTGCTAATGCACTCTTTCTCATGGGCCTCTGAATGGCCTTTCTGATCTTTTTTGAAAATTTACTTGGATTGTTTGGCAAGGGGTAGATCCTGGTCCTCTTTCATTTATATCCTAGTTAGTGGCAATGAATGGGAGGCATTTAACCCATGGGGAGTAATGAAAGGTAATCCTTACAGTGCTGCTTTGTTAGTTACTTCAAAGAGTCATTTTAATGGGTCTCAATTGCACAAAGGAGATGTTTTTCACTGCTTGAATGCTCTAAAGATACTTCACACAAATGTCTCTGAAGTACGGTATTGGTTAAAATAATCCCCATCTTAGAACCGTTACAATCAACTGCATTGCTTGCCTGTCCAGCACACTTGATTGCACAGTGAACTCTGATAAAGAGATTTCACCCACTTCTCTTGTTTAACATAATCTTGTGTCTTGTATTTACGTCACTAAGTCTTAAAGGTGCATGTTTGTAAAGCTACTAGGTAAAGTGTAACAGTAAGTTGCTTTGGAACACTAAATCAAAAAATAATTTAAAATGTGCCTCTGTCCCTCTGTCATGACTGTGTAACTTAACAAGATCATTGTTCCTAGATGAATGCGTATGACCTGGTTTGCCCAATCACCACAGCCCACCATGACTTACTGAGTGCAATGGATTGTACTACCAGCTTGCCAATGCAAACCACAATCATGCAACTTCTTGTCACATACGAACCCGGTGAGGTGTTGGGGTAGTTGAAAAGTCACACCAAACCCATGGGCTGTTTTAGGATTGCAGATAGTTTGTTAAACACTCCAGCAATCCACCCTTGTCAGATTTTCACGCAACCTACATTGTGCTCCAAAAATTCCTCCACAGCATCATCTTGTTACCTGCAAATTGCTCCTCCCGCACACACTCGCATAATATATACATAAAAAGCTTATTGAGCCTTCTCCCAAAAGAGGATCTAATGACCTCCCTCACAAAGAAAGATGTACAAACTGAAGGGCAGGACTGCAACTTGAGATAAGTAAGGAAAGGTAAGGAACACCTCATTACTTTTAATGAGTTCACATCCTCAGGTTCTGATGAACTGCATCCTAGAGTAATAAAAAAAAAACTAACAGAAGAACTCTCAGAACCACTGTCTCTTACCTCTGAAAGGACGGGAAGTACCAGATGACTACGGAAGGGCTAATAGTGTCTGTATCTTCAGGAAGGGAAAAAGAAGGACCCTGGGAACTACAGACCAGTCCATCTGACATCAGTCTTGTGGAAAATTCTGGAACAGATTGGAAAGCAGTCAATCTGCAAACACTGAGAAAACAGTGCAGTGACTACTGGAAGCCAAAATGGATTTCCCAAGAACAAATCCTGCCAGACTGTTCTGATCTCCCCCCACCCCCCCAAATATCAGGTAACCTTAATGAACTGTGGGAATGGTGTGAACATGATAAATCTGCTTCAGCAAAGTACTGGACAAAGTACCCATGATAGCCCTTTAGCAAACTAGCTAAAAGTGAGCTAGATGGAATGTCTATCAGGTGGAAACAACAGCCAACTATCAGCTGGTTATGGGGGAGAGGCAATGAGTGGGGTACTTCAAGGTTCAGGTCTGGATCCAGTGTTTTTATGAATTATTTGAATGAGTAGATGCAGGTGACACAATCGTGTAGGATAGCTAATACCCTGGAAAACAGACAAAATTCAAAGTGATCTTGATAGAGTGCTGAGCTGAAATCAGCGGAATGAAATTTAACATGGACAAATGCCAAGTTCTGCACCTAAGAAAAAGAAACCAAATGCATAGCTACAAGATGGAATAGACTTGGCTCAACAGCACTACAACTGGGAAGGATCTTGGCATTGTTGTAGATCACAAGCTGAATATGGGTCCACAATGTGATGTGGCTGAAAAAAAGGCAAATGCTAATTTAATTAATAGAAACTTCACTTCCAAATCACTACTAATTACTACTTTACTCAGTAGTAGTACTAACCATTACTTCCACTTTACTCAGCACTGGTTAGGCCTCATCTGGAATACTGATCCATTTCTGGGTACTGCACTTCAAGAGCAGTAACAAAGATCATTGGGGGCTGGAGATAAAGCTCCATGAGAAGAGACTGAAATAATTAGTCATGTTTAGCCTTGAAAAGACTGAAGGGAGCTATGCTAGTATTCTTTAAGTACTTGAAAAATTGTCATACAAAGGTGGGCTGCAATAGCTTTTCATTCAGGACGCAGAATTGGCCCAAGTTGCAGTAAGCCAGATTCTGGCTGAACATGGGGAAAAATTTCCTGACTGTTACAGCGATACAAAAATGGAACTAATTACCTAGGGAGGTTTTGAGCTCTCTCACACTGGAGGCATTGAAAATGCAGCCAAATAGGCATAGGATGCTTAAGCTTGGAGTTCTGCAGTAAGCATGGGGTTGGCCCCCTCAACTGGCTTTATTGGCTCTTTCTAACTATTCCATGATACAACACATTTATATACAAATAGTCCCCGGCTTACAAATGTCTGCGTTACAAACAACCCATACTTAGGAACGCATGGACAGCCATAAACCCTCTTAAGAATATTTCTACAAGAAAGCTGCAAATATCTCTAGGGAACTATGTCACACATCATCAGTGGCCATATACTTCCCCAGAGTGAGTAACCACTTTTCAGCAGAGAGGTATTCACTGCTTTTTTCTCGAGATAGTATTGTAGAGTTGGAAGGGACCATGAAGGCCATTGGTCCAACCCCTGCTGCTCTAAGTCCCCAATTTACACTATCTCACTCAGACGACTGCTCAGTTTCTCGCTCTGGTGTGGGAGAGCGCACAACCTCTGTAGGGAAGTAGCTCCAATGTCCTATTGCTCTGAGAGTGAGGAAACTTGTGCAGCCTGAATCTGGGTTGTTGAATTGATTATTCTGTATCATACACTCTGGTATCAGCAAGAAGGTATCTTGACCTTCTTCTTTGTGACATCCTTTCAGTGCTTATATAGTATGATTCCAGGTATTGATAGTGATATAGTGTTCCCCCTCAGCCTTCTCTTCTCAAGGCTGAACATACCCAGTTCTCTGACTCTCCTTACAGGGCAGTATTTCTAAACTCTGGATCAGTTTTCTTGCCCTCCTCTGGACGCTTTCAAATTTTTCTGCACCTCCCTTACATCTTGGTGCCTAAAACTAGACACAGTATTCTAGGCCACAGATGAGATCTGACTAGTGAGGAGTGTAGAGGAATTACTACTTCTCGTGATTTGGAAATCATACTTCCATTACTGTATCCCAAAACAGCGTTTGCCCTTTTTGCAGTTGCACTGCATTGTTGGATCATATTTAGCTCGTTATCTGCAATAACTTTTTCTTTTTCAGTCCTGTTGAGATTCACTATTTTTAGTCATGGCTATGTCTAGGGAACTACACGATGTATTTCTAGGGAGCTACACAATGCATTTGGCGGCACATCACCAGTGATAGCCCAGTTCCGTAGAGATACAGTAGTCATGTTTTTTCATTCTACATGTCAGCTGGAGTATACCCAGGCCAGTGTGTTTCAGGACACTTGTAGGGTGCCTGGTTCTCCTTGGTTTTTCTTTAGCATTTGACGTTGTAACAGGCCCTCAGCTGCTACAAGGCCATTTATGGTGAGAAAAAGAAAATGGCTGTACAAACAACCTTTGAGGCCTACTTCAAGAATGCGACTCCTGTGGTAATGTCTGCCTCCAGCAGCACAATCAAACCCTGCCTCTCCAGCACCAGGTCCGTCTCCTTAATGTTACCTCAGTAAAGTTCTAAAATGTTTTAAGAACTGTTTGTTTTTTGCAATACTGAATACCAACACACACACATACATACATACTTTCTCTTCAGTACCTGTAGTTACTTTATTATTATTACTGTATTACTATCATTATTACAATGCTGTATTGTATTTAAGGGAAGGCCGGGAGGAAAGTTGCCCATGGGGTCGTGATGGGTTGGATGCAACTTCACAACTGACAACAACAATTGTATTTAAAATGTTTTAGTGCCTATGGAAGTGTTTCTTAAGTGTTTTATATGCATAGAAAGGTATGCTTCTTTCTTGTGAATTATACCATGCAAAAAAATTAGTTAAACTGAGAATCGAGGATGTGGAATGTCAAACTGAACCCATACCAGCTGACTAAATATAAAGCATAGGGTTGATGTTAAATACTATGCAGAACCAGCAAATTATTTGATATCTTTGGAAGCGAAGGAGGTTAGAAAGGCTTTTACTCTTGCCAGGTGCTTTGCTCTTCCACTGTTCTCAAAGGCAAGTACAAGAGTACCCCTTTGATGAAAGGTTTTGTTCATGCCAAACAAAGGAGGCTGAGACTTTGGAACATGTTTTTTTCTGTGCTCATATTACAAACAGGTATGTAATGAGTTCATTATTCCACTCTTTTGGAAAAAGCCAAACTTGAGTTCCTTCTATCATATAAAGATGGTAAGGTCACATATCAAGTAGTCAGTTTTTGCAGGAAATCTTTTGCTATTCAACAATAAATCTATACTGTTAATACAATTGAACTGTAGTGGATTTTAGCAAAGGTTTTATTAGTATTACCACTATACACATCTTTGTGGCAGTACATGTTTCATTTTTGTGACCTAGGTTATTTTA